GGGCGTCCGTCGGAACCCTGGACATTCTCTCAAGATTTAACCTTCAATTCTTTGATCCACTTCAATTGTTTGGACCACAGGTTTGATTTCTCGGGGCCTTCCGGGATGACATACGGCTCCCCTTGATTCTCCGCGATGATCTCCTCCACCATCCTCATCAGCTTGTTGACCTGCTCCTCCCGCTCGCCTCCCTCGGCCTTGTTGTTGAACCCGCACAAGCGACGGTTGCACTTCTTGATCAGCTTACACAGGTGTTTGTTCTGGGCCTTGTTGACGTACGTCTCCAGGTCGTCCCCTCCCAGGTCCTCCTTGCAGGTGAACAGGATGATGGTCCGGGAGGCGGACTCGTTCCCGAAGAGTTTCCAGACCTGCTTGGCGGCGGCCGCGTCTTCGGCGGTGAAGTGCCACACCTGGGTGACCAAAATGAAGGCGTGGAGACCGGTGCGGCACATCTGACGGCAGCTTTCGAGCTGCTTTTCCAGGGAGGTCTCCGTCTTTTCGGCGTCGAACAAAGCGGGCGTATCGAGGACGGAAATCGTCCTCCCCTTCCAGGTTCCCTGCGCCCTTTGACACTCGACGGTGGTGGTCTTGGCCGCCAAGAGGGACTCGAACGCCGGTAGGCCGAGGGTGGTGTTGCCCGTCGCACTCTTCCCGCCGCCAGACTTTCCGACCAGGATGAGCCGGAGTTCGGCATCGTCTCCTGGGAGTTTGAAAAGACAGAGAGACGGCGTTAGGGCGGAGTGTAGTTAGACCGCTGGAATGGAATTCAGGGCATGGATTCAACGGGTGGAGAGAGAGAGATGATAGATAGATAGATAGATAGATAGATAGATAGATAGATAGATAGATAGATGGATGGATGGATGGATAGATAGATAGATAGAGATGGATAGAGATAAATAGGTAGGTAGGTAGGTAGGTAGATAGATAGACAGACAGACTGACAGACAGACAGATAGAGGTACAGAGATAGAGATGGAAATAGATAAGTAGATAGATAGATAGATAGATATAGGTGGATAGATGATATTGATGATAGTTTGATGATAGACAAAGATAGATGGTAGATGTAGATAGATATATAAATAGATGGATAGATGGATTGATACAGATGATGGATGGATGGATGGATAGAAAGAGGATAGATAGATAGATAGATAGATAGATAGATAGATAGATAGATAGATAGATAGATAGAATTAACCAGTGGAACAGCTTGCCACTAGAATTTGTGGCTCTCCCATCTCTTTTTAGAAGAGACCGGAGAGGCACTTGGTCTGAAATGGTATTGGGTCTTCTGCTTTGGGCAGGGGGCTGGGCTAGATGACCTCCGCCTCCCTCATTTTGTCCTCCCGCTCGAGCCAGGGGTCGGGGGGTCAGGCTAGAAGGCCTCCGAGGTTCCTTTCCAGGATTCTAGGATTCGGTGGGGGGGTGCCTCGTGCTCATGCAGGGGGCTAGACTAGATGACCTCCGAGGTCCCCTCCCGTTCCGTGCCCTGCTTCAACAGCCACTCCCCCGAGGCCAAGCGTCCCCCTCTGGTGCCCCTCACCGTCTTCCTTGGCTTCGGCCCCTCGCTGGTCCTCCATGGGCCTCTGAAAGGGAAGCAAGGAGCAGGTCAGAGAGGAGGCAGGGCAGCCATTTTGTCTGGAACGGTCGGCCATCTTAGATACCCCAAGAGCCATACCGGTCCTAACCGGAAGCCCCGCCCCCCCGTCCCCATTCCATTCTGGAGCTGAGCGGAAGTCCAGGTCCTCCACCATAGAGTCTCCTCCTAGCCCGGCATCCTTTTTGTTTGTCTTCCGCTGTCCAGAAGGCTGGTTTCTCTCCCCCCCCCACACCATAGAGTCTCCTGCTCGCATGGAGAGGAGGAAAGAAGGAAAGGAAAGGAAAGGAAAGGAAAGGAGGAAAGAAGGAAAGGAAAGAGGAAAGAAGGAAAGGAAAGAGGAAAGAAGGAAAGGAAAGGAAAGGAAAGGGGGAAAGGAAAGGAGGAAAGAAGGAAAGGAGGAAAGGAGGGAAGGAAAGGAGGGAAGAAGGAAAGGAGGAAAGGAAAGGAGTAAAGGA